AAAATATTGTTTTCCATAACATTTCCAGGGCCTGGAATTTGCATTTTGAATTTCCATGACTTTTCCAGGTTTTCAATGACCGTACGAACCCTGTTGGGTAACCAAGGCATATTTTAACAAGACACTTATTATGTTCGCGAAATAAACCAAAATATCATCAGTTGGTTAGTTTGGCTATATGATATTTGGACAAATACAGAGCAGATCCTACTGATGTCAGTGAGCTAAGTGTGTGTGTGTGTTTTTACCTTCATAATAATGATTTCCATTCTGAGAATCTCATCTTCGGTGCAGGCTTCGTCTGTAACGTAGGCAAACTGGTGGACCTTGGGAGGATACATCTCCTGAGGGACACAAAAACACAGGAGACGACCTTTATAAGAACCACTCATACCAAACCAACGAGTGGAAGATGTTGCAGGAGACTTTGGGGGGCAGTGAGAGTACAATGATATATCCAACACATGCCCACAACAAAAGGCCAAAAATAACCACAGGGTTCTTATAGAAGCAGAGGGTTTGATTTTCTCCTGGATTCTCCAACCCTTCTCACCTCTACTTTAGCAGCTATGAAGAGACAGGTGATGCCTATGAGCTGCAGCGTGGTTTTGAAGACGTTTCTCTGGGTGGCCATGAAGCGATCAAAGTAGTCCTGGGCGAGGTGGTAAGACTCCCTGTGCAGTTTGTACACCTCACTCACCTAAAAACACAAACAGAACATTAATGCAGGAATAGGGCCGCCCCATGACTTTTAACCACTAGAGATGTATGTGATGGCACTATGGACATGAAGTGACATCAGGAAGATGAAATAGTACCCATCAGGAGAAGCTCATCTCATGACAACGTTTTGTTACTGTAAGATGGAACAGCCATGTTTACCTCTTTACTATTCTATTTTCCTTTATTTAAAAAAAAAAAAAAACACCCAAACAAAAGCAAGATTTAGAAGTGATTGAAAAGCATTTAGATTTTGGAGGACATGCACCATAAATGAGATATATATATATATATATATATATATATACACACACTTTGATATGAGGAGAAATCTAAAATCTAAAGCAGATCGGCCTAATCGCACTCGATAAAGATCCAATCAGATTGGTTAATCTCTTTCAGAGACTGGAGTCCAGTCATTGCATCTCTTTATTTACCTCCATTACATTGATGTTCATAAGCCACAGTTGGTTGTTTTTTTTTCCTGCCTGGCAAGCTACTGTTGAATATTATTACATGGCTTAGTTGAATACCCGATTCTGATTGGTCAATTTGAACATTTCAGAGGTGAATATAACAGGTGTACAGACTGCTGTTAAGCACTATAATGACCGTTGCTAAGGAAGATGAAGAGAGAAAGGAAAGGGGTTAAAAGACGGAGCGCTGGACGTCAGATAAATCGACAGAAAAACCGTGACGGGAACACATTATGTGCTCTGTAGTGTTTAAGGACTTGTTTGTGGAAAATAATCTGTAAACAGACTTGGACATCAATCAGAGCCGTCTTCATTTTTAAATTAAGTTGTTGTCGGAGTTCCAGCTTTTGGTGCACCGTGGAATGGAGTTTTATTTTCTTAGCGTAAGCAATACGATCATTTTCAAGTCAATAAAATAATTTCAATTAATATTGGGAGCCAAGTCGTTGGTCTGTGGCCGTGTAGCGGGTTAATGCGCAGCGAGGCAGTCATTATTGGAAAAAGAACACGGAGCCCGGGACGAAGCAGAGGGACCTTGATTATCCCTTACTTACTCGATGGTTTGTGCCACAGGGTGTTTACAGATAACACAAAAAACACATTTGTATTTTCTCAATAATTCGATTAATTGTCCAGCTCAGAACCAGTAAGAGGCCTTAGTGTTGTCGGGCGTTTTACAGTCATGAAACTTATTGTATGATGTTCTTTAAGGTTCTAGCTTTTGTATTATCCTGCCGTCTAGCCAATTCAATCAGAAAAGGCAAGTCAGTAGTTGGTTATACACACAGCCTTTCCTTTCACCACCTATAATGCGTAAATGATCAAAATGGAAGCCAGGTGGAGACAAATTCTAGACTAGTTACAAGGACATAGTACACACCTCCATGAGCCAGTCCAGGAGAACAGCTCTCATCTTGGGCTGTAGGTGAGGATGTTTCTCCATCACATGGACATCCTTGGCGTACGTCTTGTCCTTCTCCAACATGTTGTTCCACACCACATCCTTACTGGCCCAGCTGATAACAAAACAGAGATGGATCAAAATAAATTGGTAAAACATCAAATATTTAACTCATGACCGTCCCCCTTGTTGTGCAACATGTGCTAAGCAGTAGTATGATGTTCTATGGGCAGACATGTTAACCACAAGGCCAGCAACAACAACTATTAGCCACAACCTCAGAAAAGGGACCACAGAGAAAGACAAGTGCTATATTATATCAAACAGGTTGCTGTAAGATAATTATTCTAAAAACAGTACTCACCACAGGGCAGGAAGCGGCGCGCACCGTACAGGCGTTACATAGACGTTGTGGAAGTTGTAGTGGGGGAAACCTGCGTTAATCAGGGCAACGGGCGGGTCCTCTTCCTGATCAGGTGTGGGGATGCACCTCTGTGGACTTGTGTAACCAGCATCAGGACTCCAGCCCGGCTTTACAGGAAAGAGGGAGAGCAGAGATGTGAGGAATGGAAAATGAGAGGGGGAGGACACAGTATTGGCCCGGGCAACTCAATAAGCCGGATGGTTTACATTACAGACAAAAAATGAACTATAGATACCCTTAATATGGGTTTAATTGATGAAGTATGATCGTAAGGCAGAATAACCCCAACAAATTACTTTGGGAATGAGCAACCTACTTATATACCAGCTGTGCATTTGATCAAATACAAGCCAAGTGGCAAGATTTAGTAACCAAAATGTATATAAGGTGAACTTAGTTAGGGGTGGGTTATGCCTACCTCACATTCACGCTGCTTCTTCTTCATCATCTCTGCTACCTCCTCATCAGGATCTTGTAAATACTGAGGATCAAAGATGGACATATTTTAAAGTTCAATTTGTCTTTGATTCGAAGCACAGATACATCAGATCAATCTCCAGCTGGTGAAAGGTAGAAACTGCTAATTGTCCCAGCCAGGGATGTTTTGTTTTGCAAGCCCTAATGAAAATCATTATTAAATCCAGCAATATCAGTTGTATAAGAAATACTCCAATGAAGCACAGACACTACTTGCTAGCAATGATGAACATTTGTGACAACCCAGACACACCTGAAACATGGGGTTTAGGCCCATTACAGGCTGCTCTGTGAGCCTTTCAGACTACTTACAATGGCAACATCTGCCTTCCTCTTTCTCGGTCGTACTGTATTTTCTTTGAACGCCCCGGGAGCTACAGACTTCGCTTCTGTGTCTTCCCTAGAACAACAAAAGACAAACACGTACTGGCAGTTAGTCTCCGGAGCCGACATAAACAGTTTAACATGCTTGGCCTAATATGTTAATACGGGCTAAAACAAATAGCAACAAGCTAACTAGCCGGATGGCTAAAGCTCCATCAACTTTTCTCTCGTCACACACTTTGATTGACGCGCTTAAAATAGACATGAATGAAATGCGTATAAAACTCACCGTTGTCTTCGCATTATACTCAGAGGGGTATGTGTCAGTTTCAGAGTAAACCTGTGAATGAGAAGTGTTTAAAACGTTTGTTATTTGGGGTTTAAAACAACACATTCATACACTCCCAACCCCCACTCTCGACTCCCTCCTTCTGACAAAGCCCAACTCAGCCTGGCGCGGGGAAATGGAAACAGTACTCAATGTAAAAAGTCGCTTAAAAGTACCAAACAATGCTATTTCTTCACGAAACTATTCGGTGGAAAACACAAGATGTATTATAAGCCCCCCGGGTTTTTTTATTTCGCGCATTTTGGATGGGAAACCGATTATTTCCCCCACTAAATATGGACAGCTGGCTTGCCACATAATGGCCGAACGACAGGCACAGCTGAGACGCCTATTATCCCAATTTAACATTTAACATTAACAGTAATAACACCAGGCATTTAAGTACGAGAAGCCATAAAAACCTTGAATCCAGTATCTAACTTGCTGCGGTTTAGTTAGCATTCAATTCAGCTTAGCAATAAAAGTTGCACCTAGCTTCACAAACACGATGCAATGGTACAGTTTCGTATTATCCACTCACCTCAAGATGCTGCCCTTGAAGTTCACTCTTGTCCAAAATTAAATATGTATAATGTATAACTTCACAGCCTGTTGTTCGGATGCAGTGGTGCTCTCTGTGTCCGAGTGTGCGTGTACCCAGGCCGTGCTAGTTCCTCTGAGCTGGCGCCTTGTAGTGAACAGATGACTTGAAGCATCAACGTCAGAGAGGAGTGGATTTCACTTGGCGCTAAACTCACAGCTTCACCGCCTCTCTGTAATCAAACTCTCTCCCAATTCACCATCGTTTCGCATCCTTATCGTGTACAGAGTTCGTGTTTTGTATATAATCGATATATTTTATGACAAAGAGGAGGGAAAATGAGTTTATAAATTTGCCGGCAAAACTGGAGGCGTGTCTGCCGCGGTGACAGCTGCAGGGGCGGGGCTTCCAAAGAGGAAGTGCCCGGGCACCGCGTGGCTAGTCTGTCAGATGTAAACAAAGCCGTAGTGCTTAGATTTAAGCCTAAAATACAATGAAATACGACCATAATGTTGTGAGGTAACTAGGTACGTTTGTTCCGTGAACCCCAAATATGGCTGTCTTGCGCTGTCACGCTTGGCGCATCAGTTATTTAGGTAAAAAAAAGAACTATGTTAGCCGGCGGATGCTTCTACCGCCCATTTCCAGCTATCTCCGTATTATATCCACGTAAAGCTTTTTGTTTTAACACACTCTCTGCACTGCTAAATACTTTTTTACTTCAGGTGATGGGGTTATGTAAGATAAATAATTGTTTTAGGCACTACTGGTTTGATATGGATTTTAAAGATAGTTTATTATCACTGATTTTGCTCAAAAACAAAACTGACCCTTGGCCAGTCACGTGATCCACATGCTTAGAAAGACAAAAAGCAAGATTATTTGTCTCTGCTCAACTGGTTGCTCCACAAAAACGACAACATGAAGTTTTTTAACCTTTTTGGGCGACTGAAATCTGTGGTTATTGGAATGATTCATGTTAAAGCTTTACCAGGTAAGACTGACCTGACCCTTAAGATTTACATTTTAGCAGTTGTAAATGAACTATTCAGTTTATTGACTCTAGTAAAGGTTGTAAAGGTCATTTGTCTGTATTTCAAAACCCACACATAAATCAGATCAATCTTCAGCTGGTGAAAAGTAGAAACTACACATTTTCCCAGGGGTGTTTTGTTTTGTAAGCACTAATGCAAATCATTATAAAATCCAGCTGCATATACAAGTTTTTGCCAGCAATGATGAATTTATGTGACAACCTAGACACTCCTGAAACATGGGGTTTAGGCCTATTATATTATTCAGACTATTTACAATGGCAACATCTGCCTTCCACTTTCTGGGTCGTACTGTATTTTCTTTGGGCGCCTCAGGATCTAGTAAAGGTTGCAATACCACTTCGTAAAAAATACTCCTTTCAAAACTGTCATATCATTTTGTCTGTGAAATCCCATATGTCAAATTAACATGGTCAGGTAAAAGCATATTATTTGGAGCTGACTGTTGAAGTACTGTAGCAAATTAGAGTAATAATCTATTTAAGAAAAGTACAAATATTTCAAATGTATACTTGTATGCAGTATTCAGGTAAAGGTATTTGGTTACCTTTGGGAGCTTTTATTTGTCATATCTCTTACTTATTGTTTCCATATTTGATGTCTATCACAGGCACCCCCCTGGGCTGTATGAAAATGTCCCGAATCACAGAAGAAGCCTGCAGGGAGGCAGAAATCTACCGTGATGCAGGGATTGTAAGTTATTGTACATTGTGTGAATTCCAAACACATTAAGTCTTCTTAAGCGAGCCAGTACAGTTACTTGTGAACCCCTCTTCAGGATGCTGTGGTCATCGAGAACATGCATGACATCCCTTACTCGTTCTCTGTGGGCCCTGAGGTGACGGCCTGTCTGACCGCAGTGTGCTCGGCTGTGAGGAACATCTGTCCACAGCTGCCGCTCGGAGTGCAAATACTGTCCTCTGCAAACCAGCAGGCCCTGGCAGTCGCCCTGGCTTCAGGTTCAGTCTTTACATCGTTGAATGATCGTTGTGCTGTGTATATAATGCCATAACCATCTGCAGTAAAAGTGTTTAGAACATAGGTATATCGATCATGTATCAGATCAACTGTAAACTGATTTTCTGACTAACATCAGCTCATTACGGTCTGGTCGGGTTTCATGATTTAAGGTGTGTTTATCAGTCAAATAAGATGCTGTGTGTTTGTCCTTTAGTGTTTTATGTAAGAACATTTAAAACAATAAAAGTAGGAATACCACAGTACTTGCGGTAAAGTATTAAAAGTATCATCATGAAAATATAGTTAAAGTACAAAAAACATTACTGATTAATCAAGACGGACAATTGTATTCTTATCATTTTACAATATATACTGCCTTATAGCTTGTGAATTTCCCCAAGGGATCCATATAGTCTATATAACACATGATCAATTATATGTTGATTATATTTAGTATAGTTTCTAAGTGACTAAAACTATCATACAAATGATTAGGGGAAAGTAGAAGTAGGAAGTAGTATGAAATGGAAATACTCAAGTAATGTGCAGCAGACCAAACTGTACTTAAGTACAGTACTTGAGTAAATGTATTTGATTTCTGAACCTCTGGTTGAAAGGAACCTGTATCTGACACAGAGGCTGCTTGTTAGTGGATCATAGTGTTCAAATGTTACTCTATGTTCACAGGTCTGGACTTCATCAGGGCCGAGGGTTTCGTCTTTTCCCACGTGGCTGATGAAGGACTCCTGAACGCCTGCGCCGGGGACTTACTGAGGTACCGCAAACAGATCGGAGCTGAGCATGTGCAGATCTTTACCGACATCAAGAAGAAGCACAGGTGAGATCCCCATCTCTCCATTTGTATTAGTAACTAGAACCATAAGTGCCGCTTAGATGCAAAAAAGAGCTGCAACAACTTTAGTGGTTTACTTAAACATTTCTCTGAGTGTGCTGAAATAAAAGGCAAGGGCAAGACCAACTACTAACCAAGCCCCCCTGTTAGAAAAGAGGATTTATAGTGACTAGATGGATAAATATTAGATCTGGAGATTTGAGGTGTTTCAGTTTGTTAGTAGCCTTGATAAATCTGCGTTCCATTGGTTGTCAAATAAACTAATTAAAAAAGGGAAAGCCATTAAGACTTGTACAGGATAACATGTCACTCATATTTTATTAAAAAAACCAAATCTATAGAAATATCAAAAATATACCTGATGTAACAGGAGAGGTCAAGAAGCTGCAGGTTTGTACATTTGAATTCCCCTCTTCAACGAAAAACAAACAATAGCAAAAAAGGGTGAAAATATATTAAAATAGTCAAATGATATACTTCTTGTAATGTATATGAATTATTTTGGTAATACAATTTGTATAATTTGCTTATTTAGAATTCTATATAAGTATATATAGGATTCTTTGTTAAAGAGTGGAGAATGAGGCAGGTGTAAGTTATCGATTACTCCTACACTTTGCTGCAACTAGTGTAGCTTAAGTTACAGTTGATGAAGTAAATTGACAACCTGTTCTATGTTGTTCTATAAAGAACGTTTTACAGTATAATGGAATTCATGTAACTATGGTCTTCCCAGTCAAAGTTTTATCTCCAGCCAGTTTTACTCGGCCATGTCCTGCTTGTTTATGTACACTGTGTGTTTGTTTCCCCAGCTCCCATGCCCTGACCTCAGACGTGAGCATTGAACAGACGGCACATGCAGCAGAGTTCTTCCTCTCAGACGGACTCATCATCACAGGAGCAGCTACAGGACAGCAGGCTGACCCGCGGGAGCTCAGAGGTACCGCACCCTCCAGACTGCCAGGAGCACATCAACGCTTTATCAGGCGCTGCCTAGCACCTAATCATCCTATAAGTTAACAACACAGGGCTGAAACACAATCTGTTAGCAACATCCATTGGATTGATTTGACGTTAATCTTGTCAATGGATCATTGAGTCTACTTGATGTTAAATGCAGTAACTCCCCAGATTTGAAAAATACTATCCTTGGGCTGCACAGTTAATCAACATGGTGTCGTAATGCGTGTGTTCAAATACCATTTTGAATAAAGTTTTGTGGAGCAGCAGAGATATCCCGGCCTATAAATCACATTCCCCAGACTTAAAAAATAACAAAATTGTTTGGTACAGAAAAACTATACAAAAATGATCAATCCCTCAAATATAGTGAATCATATCTCAACCGCAGTGTCAGTCAAAAATAATTACAATAACAATTAGTTACTTTCTCAGATATTCTCCACCATATAATATAACCATTTTGTGCTGTCGACCGTAATGTTAAGTCATTTTAGTCATTGCCTCATCCGTCCAGCAGAGGTCACCCTCACCTTTAGTAAAGCCCTTTATATATAAACAGTCTATGCTCAAAGTCTATGAAAATATGTTCTTAGTATCATACTCATTGTGTGTCCTGGAGTGATACCCAACTCACGCTGACCTTTTACTAATATAGCTTCAGAACAAGGATTACTGGCAGGTAGGTGACTCACTGCCAATCTGATATGCTGTTTGGTGGATACAGTTACATGCGGAGGAAATCATATAAAGGCAAAGTTAAGGTCAAGAACATCCAATTAGAATGAACAAAATACAATAAGAATACAGCTGAAAACATCCTACGGCACTAGTAAATGTGTGTTGATTATTATGTGTGTACCTGCCCATAGCTGCAGATGGAAATGAGATTTTAGCTATAATCTAGCATATAGCATCTATTCTATTTTTGAGATTAATGTATTTTATGCATGGTTTTCAAATATCTTCTGGAAGAACCTTACACTTATATATTAAGTATTATGAAACTGTCTTTTACAATTTCCAGATCTATTTTCTGGAAATGTATGCAAACGACTGTATAATAAGAAAATGCCACATATGCAGATTTAAACATATATTTTTATAAATACAAAACAACTGGGGATGATTCATTTAGATATTTATAGTTAACATGTTCACCATATATATTTAGAATTTGAATACTGCTTCCATCAGTGGCTTAATCAGTGACCACGGGGAGCTGAAGGCCCTGCCGTTTGTATCTGCAGAGAGTCAGAGGGTTGTAAATCTGGACCATGTCCTTCTTATATTAGCGATACCAGGCCTGCTATTTTAGTCTCTAACTCGACTCTAAACACTCTAACACACACACAGCATTGGTTTCATGCACACACATGCACACACTCACCCCATCTGTTCCCCTCACACACATGCTCTATCTCGGGACCACAAGCACGCAGACAAGGGTCAGACAGAATGATACTGGAGCTCACATGCAAGTGTCCAAAGTTCCCTGGGTGTGCCACAGCCTCCTCTCGCCATGGCAACTGACATTCATTAACATTATCATATATGGATAGGATCCAGATCTGAAAAAACAGCATGCTGCATCTACATAATAAATCATCTCAGATTACCACATTTGACAGTAACTGTTTGTGTGGATTTGAGATGCATCCATGTGCATGTGATGGTGAGGAAAGGAAATCAAGTTGTTGTATGCTTTGAAGGAATAGTTTGGATGTTTTGAAGTGGGGTTATTTTAGGTACTTGTTTATAGTCGGTGTATTATCTGCAGTAAATTGCGTCAGCACACCCGTAGTTTGCAGAGCAACGCAATGTACTGCTTTTATCCATCAAAAAACAAAAGAGGCCCACCCTTAAAAAATAAATGGGTAAAGAGTATGTTATATTCAAATGATTATCACCTCTGTAACTTGCATGGAGACAGCTCTTTCTGACGGGAAACTAAAGCTGTTATTTGTCTCTAATGTGCTCTTGCAAAAGCCACTAAACTCCATTAAAAAAAAAAATAGTTGTACTTAACAGAACCCGAGGGTTGCTGGTCTAAGGCTACTTTGACCAGTTTGTTTGTCTGTGTTATTGTAGGCTAGCGACTCACAGGTTCTGCAAGGTAAAGTAACCATTGTTTCAAAAAGATTCATAAAATCTGGTGGATTTGAAGACAGCATAAAAAACATCTTCAGGATACACTATGGATACCTACCTTACATAAGCTCAATTCAAAACAACTGTCCCTTTTAAAGATCCATAAGTCATCATTTATTGTTTTCTTTATTTTTTCAAGTGTATCATTAAATATGTGCATTTCTTAGAGTTGGAGTAGTTACCCCTGTTCAGATGTTTCTTTGCTTTTTGCAGAGGTTTCCAAGTCTGTGAGGATCCCAGTGCTGATTGGTTCTGGGGTAACCTATGACAACATTGAAAGCTACATTGGTGCAAATGGGATGATCATCGGTTCTCATTTCAAGGAGGGGGGCCACTGGGCCAACGCTGTCGACCCGGAGCGAGTGAAGAGGTTCATGGGAAAGATACGTGAGCTTCGACAATAACAGAAGGTGTTTGTCTTGTGTCTGCTGCCACATTAAAGACCTTCAGACACTAGCTTAAGAAAACAAGACTTTCATTTTTTGGTACATTTTATAAATACACTCATAGAAAAACATAATATTCGACTGTATTTACACTCGTCTAAAATGAACAATTTGTGTGACATGAAAATAGTGGGTAATCAAAACACAAACCCGGGGGTTTTCACCCGACATAATGACTGTACAGCTCACCGTGGCATGGTGCGAGCTTTAAAACACTTGTTACATCTAAAACTAAGGCACATGAAATAATACATTCAAACTGTGCCATGATAATCCAACGGCATCGTAGATATTGCATTAAAAATCACTCTACAGGTTTGAAGTTTTCATATGTGAATCCTCGCTCAGTTACAACACGTTTAGAATAACACACACACACACTTCCTAAAAGCCCTACCTAAGGAATCCAAACTAATGCTCTCCAACCTGAGGGACCGACTGTCATCAGGAGTTCAAGAATGATTGTTCTCAGTGGTTTCAGCTGCAGTGCAGGTTGCTGATAATGACATTTAAATCAAACTGCACAGGAAGTGGTGAATCTGATTGTGCTTTGCTTTATGCTAAATGATCTGTGTGAGGTGAAACAATGGTTTGAAAACCTGAGTATGTCAGAGTCAAGGCACTGTGCTGCACAACTGGGCTGTGGTGGAGGCACCTTGAAGCCCCCCCCCCCCTTTCCTGTTTAGTTGTTGCAGAGGCGCTGGCAGGGCTGCTTGAAGTGTCCGTAGCGCTTCTCTGTGGGGGAGAAGCGCATCTTGGCGAGGTTCTGCCTGTGGAGGCCTCCGCGGCTCAGCTTCTTCCTCTCAGCCTGGGCGCCGGCCCTCTGCACAGCCAGCAGCTGGAGGTGGCCGGGCAGAGGGAGCCCCCAGGCAGCCAGGCGCCAGGAGATGTGCCGCCTCACCACCACCGGCCTGCACACACACAGGGAGGGTTAGAGCGTGTGTTGATGGCATATTAGATGATAGGTTAGTAGTAGGTAGGTTCACTGATAGGATACTAAGACGCACCACGGAACCTTCCTCCTGCCTGTGGCCAGCAGACTGTTTCGCTTCTCCCAAGAGCTTCAATAGACGGGCACTGAACTTCATTCACCAGCTAAAGCTCTCTGTGCAATCCAGTGTTCATATCTTATTCATACTAATACAACACTGTTTATAATAGTTTAATAGTTTAGAATAATGTTTACAACACTGTTCAATTTACTCAACTTTACCCAATTATAGTTTTGAAACACTTGTTCTTAAGTATTTCCATTGTGTGGTACTTTAAACTTCTTTTCACTAGTAGTACAAATGTTACCTTTTATTTCACTAAATATTTGTCATCGCTTTAAGTATCTTATTTAAGATTCGATGTTAAACTAGAACATCTTGCCACCTGTAACCAGTCAAGTTGCAGTTTACATGCATATCTGCGACGTCATCTATATACTGTTAGACATTGGTGGGAAAATGTACAGTTTGAGTGACGTTGAGCTTCATCAACCAAAAGCCATTTAGTTCATCACTTAGTCAACGTGGATGTTTGTGGAGAAATTTGAAAAGATCCCTAAAATTGTTCTTGAGATCGAGCCTTCACAGGAATGTTACGTTATCCAGCATCCTAATAAACATCAAAATCGATATAGAGTGGCACAGTGACGCGTCCTAAAACCCGGAAGTGAGTCAGCATGGGTTCCTTCGACAACAACGCAATGGGATCTCTCCATAGGGTTTAGGAAAAGAGCTGGAAATCAGGTCTGTGGTTGAGACACATTGAAGAGACGGATCACGTTTTGTTCAGTCGGATAATCTCCACATGTCTACCCTACTTCAAATCATAAATCTATCGATTAGATTTATAATTATAAATAAAAGTAGTAATACAATGATAAAAGTAGGGTAGACATGTGGAGATTATCCGGCTGAACAAAACGTGATCCGTCTCTTCAATGTGTCTCAACCACTGACCTGATTTCCAGCTCTTTTCCTAAACCCTATGGAGAGATCCCATTGCTTTGCTGTCGAAGAACTCACCATGCTGACTCACTTCCGGGTTTTAGGACGCGTCACTGTGCCACTCTATTGAGTCAATGAAGGGTTGCACACTTATACTTTGATTTGGTTAATAGTTCTATATCGACTAACTACAACAGAAAACCATACCTAAAAAATGATCAGCATAATCAATAACAATATATACTAATATTACAATGAATGCAATACACAATGACTACGTTTGATAGTTAAAGTACATTTGATTGATATGTTTGAACTTATAATGGAGTATTTTAACAGTGCAGTACTTACACTGATGAAATAAAGCCGCAGAATGCTCCTTCTACCACTACACATACAAAAACCTTAAGGTCATTACTTCAACAAATGCTGCTAATTCATCTTCTGTATTTGACTCATGCAAGTGAAAGGAGCTCTTGAAACTGTGTACACATTGTTAGCTTCTGTAATCCTGCCTTGATTCTTAAAATGAAAACACAACACACTTTGGGACTGTCACAGGTTTCAGTGGAAGATGACATCCAGGCGTGGTAACTAATAAATACATCAATGCCTAAGACGAGTGTGTCTGAATGAAGACTAACCTGGAGGTGTCCTCTTCCTCTTCCTCTTCGTCAGAGCCAACCTCCTCCTCTCCGCTCATCATGCATCTCATTTGGTACACGGACATGCTGGGGTGCTCGATCAGCAGGTTCTCCAGGGGGCCCGCCGGGGGGGCCGACAGGGGCTCGTTCTCTGCAATGAGGACATCTTCTCTTTACATCCCAGAACACACTGCACCCAAGCTGAGTGGATGATGTAGAAGTGAATACCACAGACTCTGAAGGGTTCATTTGTTACCTGGCAGATTAACGATGATCCATCCTCCCTCCTCACTCTCCATCAGCTCCTCATAAGAGTCCGCTGCCTCCAAATCCTCCCCAGCGTTCCAGAGCAGCTGAGAGAGAAGCTTTCCGAACATCTTCAAACTCAGCTATCTGGGAATGAACAATAGTGAGAATATCAAGCAATGCACAAAACACACTTTTTGGAAGGGTTTTGGCAGCGGGATGACTCCATATGTTGGATGTGATGGTGAGTTCTGAGTTCACAATCCTCAATCAGAATACAATTAAAATAAAACATTACAAATATATATCAAAAATGGCAATACAAATACAATACAAAGCAGAGGTTTTTATTAACCTATGAAGTTATAGCAGAAGGTCCACTTAAAAAATAGAATACAAATATGTATTTAGGGACAAGATGTTAAGAATTAGCACATTTGAATGAAGGAATACAAAACAATAAATAACTATTTGTATATGAATTACTCACTCAAAGGTTCCTGGACAAAAAAGGTCTAAATAAATGTCTGTATGGTGAACGGAAAAAAAGAAACAATGTTTATGTCTTCTTTAATGATACAGCTAAACTATATCAAAGTATCTCATGTTTGTGAACTATTTGTTTTTGGGTTCTTTGTTCTCATGCAAGAATAATTCAAGGTAAAACAGCGAGGGTAATTGATATACAAATTGTGATTTTGTGGGTGTATTCCTTGAATCCTCTTCCACCTGAAGCTCCTCTCTGCCTGGATATGTGTCCACATGAGCAGAGCAGGGGGCTCCCCGGTGAGGCTGTGCTAATAAAACCCCACAGATCTTCTCCAGTGATCACCTAACTCCTGCTCTGCATCAACAATGTTTCCATTGCGCCAACACAGGAACCTGAGCTGCTATAGGTCGCTTCATGACGCAGACTCACGAGTGTTACAGCTGAGGGAACATGATGATACAAGACGCTAGAATTTGACTGGTTTCAAAAATATGATACAATCTGCGACACTGCTTTAAACTCCTCCCATGAAGAAAAGTTGTAGGCGTGACCTAAAACCGCAGCTCGCTGACCTTTTGTCCTAAACAATGAACCTGGAACATTATGGAAGTGTATTATGTACACTGCATGTTTGTTTATAAGTCCCCTGTCCTTCTTAGGCAACATAAATAAGGCTTATTAAATAAGGAAAATAATAACAATACATTTGATTTAAAAAGCGATTTTCAAGTATACTCAAAAAAACAGTACGTAAAATAAAAATAACTTTTGGGTTTCTCCTGTTTTACATTAATTCTAGTGTTATGTGAACGATATATACACTGCATGTTTGTTAATAAAGTCCCCTGGTGGAGGACGCCATGTTCTTCTTAGGGAGAATGCTTATTAAATAACAAATAATAATACATTTTATTTAAAAATATGTTTTTACGGTACTCAAAGACACTCTTCATATACGGGCTACAATTCATGAAATATAATTAAAAACACACTTAACATTATTATTTGAGCAAATAATGAGCAAAAGTTGTCAAAGTATTATATTACTATGATATCATCCTATTTATCCAATGCAGAATGTTAAATGTAGGTCCAATATTTACTTATGACAGCTGATCGTATAAAATGCCGACATCAACATGTCCTTATCGGTTAAAAGTATAATCACAGGAATATATCAAATGTATACTGGCTACAATACACCATTATATCACAAGTACATGTCTGCTATCATCGTTCAAGACAAACATAGTTCCATAAACAGACCCGTGTTTACCCGTGTCAGTGTCTGGATGCCTTCCTTCAGTGTTTGCCCGGAATCTAATGTCACCAGCCCCCTCCCTATAAACACACACATAATCCCTGTCTGACCTGATATCTACAGGACGAACAGCTGATTGCACGTCGACGCACTTTTATTTATCATAATAATAGCATTGGGTGGATTTGTAGAGGTGGAAATTAAACGATAACATGCATTACAAACCAAAGACATATCACTGCCCAGAGGATTGCACTTCGAGAACAAAAGACAAATGACATCCAAACATTAAAACAGGCCAGTATTTTTACCGTGCTGCATAGATATCTACATCATGACTCACCTGATTAAATAAAATAAATTATTTCCTCGGGTGTGGCCGTTATACCCAAATGATCCTTCTGTGTTGCTTGTTATTCAGAGATTGTTTTGATCTCAAAGTTGTTTTTCGGAGAGTCCTCCCTGTGTCCTGAAACGTCACCAAGCCACGCCCTCTGAGGCGGGACAGGTGTACGTCAGTCACTGCGTCACATGTCCACAAAACAACCCACTGATGTGACAACAAGTTATGGGTCCGTGTACTTTTTGTCAGTTTGATTTTTCGTTTTAAACAAAAGCCAAAAAACGGAAATACCAGCCTTTTTCCGTTTTTTCGTTTTTTATTTAAAACGAAAAAACGGGAAACCAAAGCCGTTTTTCCGTTGTTGTTGTCTGAATAAAAAGACCGATAACGAGAAAACCTAATTAAAAAAAGGTAAGTGTACGTTTTGTTAGTTTGATTTTTCGTTTGAACCAAAAAATGAGAAAAATGAAAATACCAGCCTTTTTTTGTTTTAAATCAAAAACGAAAAAACGTGAAACCAAAGCCGTTTTCCTGTTTATGTTGTCTGAATCAAAAACGGATAACAAGATAAAAACGGTCTGATTTTGGTTTTTGATAACAACTTCATTCAATGTTCCGTTTTGTATTGAAGAATGAAGAAAAGCAGTCCGCTTGACCGGAAGTTAAAGAACATATTTCAAAATAAAAGACACGAGGCTATAATGGCAATGCTGTAAAAGACCCATAAGTCTGACGACCCTTGGCCCCCCTGCTTCCGGCACCCATGCTGACGAGGATACGTTTATTTCTGCATTCACATGCAGATATGCGTTTATAGAGATTAATACAAGTATGCAAGCTCTGGGCATAATTGTATTCCTTGACTTCCGGTTTGTACTGTGTTGGCAAATCCAGTGTCCAGCTTGTCGCTGTGTGACAACGTCATGTTTGTTGCATACCTGCAAGATTTACCTGTGACAAATGTCAGCGATGTGAACAGAACTGTCACCCTACTTTCACCTGCACCCAGCAGCAAGCGGGAGAACAATATATCATACAGTCGACCCCTAAAACAGTTCACACAGTAATGGAACAGTTGTTAAGCATTATTTTGTCCAACTAGTCTACATTATGAATTTGATGTTTGTCTAAACTGCTAAGAAGCTGACAGCAGAGTTAGAACAGAAAGACATGCAGGCCATAATCACTAGACGCTCAAAAGAGGAATGTGTGTGTAAGGCTTACATGAACTGAATTGAAACACTGTCCATTAGTTGATTAATAAACAAGACATTCAAGTCAAAGTTTTAGGCATTTTCATTTGTAGCACGCTGTAAATATGGACTATGAATGAACACATGCAATGTGGAAACACACAAATAGGTTTATTCTCAATACTCATAACAGTATCAGACACAATGACTTTACTGAGAGTGAAGATGACATGAACATAGTTACTGTATGGTACTGAAGACAACATACAGTATATTGCATTTACCTCTTCCTCTAACTCTCTCTCCAATATTGACCTCCATTGTTGTGCACAACAAAGTGTTCAAGCTCAGGTTTCTAAGTGATATCATTTTAACATGTGCATTCTGGGTGCAGGGTTAGTAGGGCTAACCCATATCTGTTCAATAGATGAAAGGCAACTTGAGTTTAATAATTGTGCCAAAAGTACCAGTTTGTGTCTTGGTAATTGCACAAAGCTGTAATAGGCCACAAATAATCACATGTTTCTAAAAACACAGCAGCAAAACCTATTTTATCCACACAAAAATGAAGGCCCACCTGAAAAAAAATCGCTATTTTTAGCATTAAATAATGTACACTTAAACTGATATAGCTTTTTTGGTGGAGAAAATAAATGTTGCTTTTGCCCACGTCCTCAGCAGTACATGGCTCTGCTGTGCCGGGGCTCCTGTATGTTTCTCCACACGACTACTGTAGGTAGTACACTGATTATGGATATATACCACACACTACCCCACTTCAAAAGACCAGAACTATCCCGTGTGTAGTTTTAGTATTTGAATTACAATGACATTATTCTCAGACTTGCCATAGTTCTTGGTTTGTACCACTGCTGCTCTGCTCTGTACAGCTGAGTACTGGGGACCCACTGGGAGTCATGTGACTGGAGCAGGAGAGTAACACACGTCACACCTGCAGCCATGATGCTCCAGCTCAATGGGGGTCGAGTCTTTCAGCCCCACCTGTAAGAAGAGAAACAAAATAAATACGTATTCAGTTTGCTTTGTATTATTTCTTTTAGGGTAACATTTTGGTTTAATAACATTGTGCTATTTTAAGGAGTAAATAAGTCATATATTTGTTCCTAAATGTTTTCTATACTTACAACTTCTTATACATACTGATATGAATTGATTTACTTGTATACTATGAACGAAGAAAAATGACTCTTTAACAACAGAACAGGAACAAAACACAGCTGTGACCTCTGTGCAGCACACACAGACCAGTCAGTCCATTTCTGGGGAGTAGCTACCTTGTGCTAGTTATATTAAAGTTGATGTTTCACTATTGGCTGTGTCTAACCTGTCTGAAATTAGCCAAATCCCCAGGAACATGTTGAGCCAGACGGTAACTAAGACAGTAACACTTCATCCTGACCTCACTGTGGGGCCTGTCCTCATGGACCTGTAGCATAACACCCTGACACTAAAATACAAAGTATGTTCATTAAGAATGCACATACTGTCCCTCCTCTGTCTTTCAATGTAGTCAAACTTGTTGAAGAAAAACAATAAGTTTAACGTTACAGAAATAAAAGCTTAATTACTCACCCTCCTAATTGTAGATGTAACTTCACAAGTACAACTTGAAACATTTCTCCCGCTTGCTGCTGGGTGCAGGTGAAAGCAGGTCGACATTTCTGTTTACATCGCTGACATTTGTCACAGGTCAATCTTGTAGGTATATCACAACAAACATGACGTTGTCACACAGCGACAAGCTGGACACTGGATTGACCAAATAACTACACACTCTTATTTACATTTGACACGTTATTCAAAACCGACAGCCTGTGTGTTGTTTGCAAAACACTGCCACTGAAATACCACACTCAATTATCAAGCCCCTGCACCCAGAATGCACATGTTCAAAGCCATGTAACCAATGATATCACTTAGAAACCTGAGCTTGAACACTTTGTTGTGCACAACAATGGAGGCCACTTTTGGAGAGAGAGTTAGAGGAAGAGGTAAATGCAATATACTGTATTTTGTCTTCAGTATACAGTAACTATATGTTCATGTCATCTTCACTCTCAGTAAAGTCATTGTGTCTGATACTGTTATGAGTATTGAGAATAAACCTATGTGTGTGTTTCCACATTGCATGTGTTCATTCATAGTCCATATTTACAGCGTGCTACAAATGAAAATGCCTAAAACTTTGACTTGAATGTCTTGTTTATTAATCAACTAATGGACAATGTTTCAATTCAGTTCATGTAACCCTTACACACACTCTTTTGAGCGTCGAGTGATTATGGCCTGCATGTCTTTCTGTTCTAACTCAGCTGTCAGCTTCTTACTGTCCTAATGTGCACAATGTAGTGACTGTTTTTTTGTCTTTTGTTTTCTTAGTTATGTTCTCTGTATTTTATATGTTTGTGTTATGTGTAACGTTGCTGCCTTCTTGGCCAGGTCAGCATTGCAAATGAGATTATATCTCAATGCTTTTATCTGGTTAAATAAAGGTTAAATAAAAAATAAATAAAAATAAAATTAGCAGTTTAGACAAACATCAAATTCATAATGTTGGACAAATTAACAACTGTTCCATTTACTGTGTGAACTGTTTTAGGGGTCGACTGTATGATATATCGTTCTCCCGCTTGCTGCTGGGTGCAGGTGAAAGTAGGGCGATAGTTCTTATCTTATCTTGCAGGTATGCAACAAACATGACGCTGTCACCAGTCTATGGTTGTCACACAACGGCAAGCTGGACACTGGATTTACCGACACAGTACAAACCGGAAGTCAGCTAAATAAAGCTATGCACAGTGCTTGCATACTTGTATTGATCTCTATAAACGCATATCTGCATGTGAATGCAGAGATAAACTTATCCTCGTCAGACTTCTGGGTTCCAGGATTTAACTTTTACAGCATATCCTCGTGTCTTTTATTTTGAAATATGTTCTTTAACTTCCGGTCCACCGGACTGCTTTACTTCATTCTTCAATACAAAACGGAAAATTGAATGAGGTTGTTATCAAAAACCAAAATCAGACCGTTTTTTTTAATTAGGTCTTCTTGTTATCCGTTTTTTGATTCAGACAACATAAACAGGAAAACGGCTTTGGTTTCCCGTTTTTTCGTTTTTGATTTAAAACGAAAAAAGGCTGGTATTTTCGTTTTTTGGTTCAAACGTTAAATCAAACTAACAAAACGTACAGACTTTTTTTGGTCAGGTTTTCTCGTTATCCGTGTTTTTATTCAGACAACAACAACGGAAAAACGGCTTTGGTTTTCCGTTTTTTCGTTTTAAATCAAAAACGAAAAAACGGAAAAAGGCTGGTATTTTCGTTTTTTGGCTTTTGGTTTAAACGAAAAATCAAACTGACAAAAAGTACACGGACCGTTATGTGGACTGACATATTACGTTTTGTCTTTCATATGTATCCACATTGGCGTTTACACAGTCCTCAAGCTATCAGAAGGGAACAGTAAATGAGTTTGCAAACAACATAATGTACGAAAAAAGTCCCCGTTATGCTGTAAAAATAAGGCCCGTGCTGGCGTGCTCTGCTGTTACAGCCATCCCCGTAACTCCACTCGTGCTAACTTTAGGCAGCAGCTGCACGTGAAAAGCAAAACAAGAATATTATTCTGTGAAAACTGATTAAAATGGCGAACGTAACGGACAGACTAGCTGTGAACTACCAGAGTTAATTTATCTTGTAGAGTTTTGGAGATAGGTCTGGCTATGCAATCCTGAAGGCTAGATTATTTACTTGTTCAAGTTTTGGTGAGACGCTGTCCTCCTTATGTTCAAGACTGTTCAAGATAGTTCCCACACTAATCACCACTCCAATGTTTTGTTTAGTGCGCATGTGCAAGATGTTGTTATTTTAAGTCAAGCTGTTTTTACCTTTATATACAGTATATGTTTTTGTACCGAAGTGACGTCTAAAGTTAAAGAAGAAAACACTCCGACAGAGACTTGGTGAGGACAGAA